GAACCTGGACAACAAAAACCACACATGGACCATAGAAACCACACCTGGACCACACAAACCACACCTGGACCACAGAAATAACACCTGGATCATATAAACTATACATGAAACATAAAAACCAAACATAGACCATAGAAACCTCACCTGGACCATAGAAACTATTCATGGACCACAGAAACCACACAAATCACACCTGGACCATAGAAACTACATCTGGACCACAGAAACCACACCTGGACCAGTCATTCTGTGTTTCTTTCCTGTCCTCTCCAAGCCCAGCCAGTCGAGGCAGATGGCCTCCCATCCTGAGCCTGGTTCTGGTTCTGGTGGAGGTTTCTTCCTGTTCAAAGGGTGTTGTTTCTTTCCACTGTCACCAATGTGGTGCTCAGGATGGGAGCTAACTGACATTTAATAATCTGTGCTGGATATAATCTGTGAATGTTTTGTTATATTTGAATTTTAACCTGGGTCTGTTTTAATCTAAATTTAAATGTTATTTTAGTAGGAGTACAGAGAAATTATTTTTTATTGTGAATACTGGTAAGCCCTAAATAAATGTGTGCTCAGAAAACAAGTTTCTACAGAAACATTCTGTTAAATGTTCTGTAATCTGTGGATAAAACCACGAGCCGTTGGGTTTTGAACCAGCACACCTCTAACTCATTTGATTTGCCTAAAAGACAGTTTTGTGAAATCACCCCTGATGGTGTGTTTGTGTCTATCAGTGTGCGACAGTGTATTAGAGTGTAGTATTTATTTGTGTATTAGAGTTCAGTAGAGGATTACTGGTCTTTGTTGGGAGTCTTCCTCAGTTGGTCGGCCATGACTCGGGCTGAGAAGTTGTAGAAGTTCAGCATATTCTGGAAGAAGCTGTCATCCGATACATCATACTGAAACAAGGTGGAGAAGTTGTAAGGATGCTGTTCACAAGCAGAACATCAGCAGAACACCTGTCCTGAAGCCGTCACTCACCCCGTCGTAAACATCGTCCAGCTCTTTCTGGTCCAGGATGTATTCTGGGAAACCAATCATGTCATAGATTGCATCTGCCTGTAGAGAAAGAGTCAGGAACAGATCAGAACTTTTGGGATGACGTGGAACAACACTGCATCAGGCAGTAACGTTCCTGATTGTTGGTGTTGACACCATTGGATCCAGAGTTGAGTTCCGGTTAATGAGCAGCAAACAGCACCTGCTTGTTGAGGTACCTTATCTTTGGCAGCTTTTCTTGTATCACCGTCCATCCAGCTGAGTCGGTCCAAAGATTCTTTAAATGCTGAGCGGATCTTGTTGATCATTACCTCCGCCTGCCACAAAGAGACAGTTGAGCTAAAGTTAACCAGATCAGACCTTCAGGTGGAGGACGACAAATTTTACAAGTTAAAAACGGAAACTTACAATCTCTTTACTGCGTTTGTCGAAGGTCGACTTGACGAAGAGCGCCCCCAAAGCAAAGCCCAGAGTGTCGTCAGTGTTCCCAATACAGGTCTGCCAGCGTGGGGTGCATGACTGTAAAAACAACCAGTTAAAATCAGCTTGAACCTGGTTATAGACAGGAAAAAAAAAATACAGTTCCAACCAGCTGGAACTGTTTTTTTTCCTTGTCTGTAACCAGGTTCAAGCTACAGAGAAAAACCCAATCAGGTCACATTTTCTGGAACTGGTTACAGACAGCCAAAAATCCAAACCAGGTCCAGCCAGCTGGAACTGGTTACAGAGAAAAAAATCTAAATAAGTTCCAACCAGCTGTAACTGGTTACAGACAGAAAGCCCCCAACCAGTTCAAACCACCTGGAACTGGTTACAGACAGAAACCCAACCAGTTCAAACCACTTGGAACTCTTCAGAGAAAAACTGGCATCTGGTTTTATGAACTCAAACTCTAGCCCAGTGGAAATTATTTACGACCTGAATCAACACAGAAAGGATCACCCAGAGGAATTAAACCCATAAGAAAAGATCAAAACCAAGTGTCCTCATAAACACCAGCAGAACTATAGATGGATGGGGTCCAGACCCGTTTGGGACCATCAATACACACAAGAAACTGGGACAGTCCATGAGACCAGTGAGGACAGTTACTGATCGCAGAAGAACCCATACCTGCTGCTGGAAGAGAATGGTCATCAGTACAAAAAGAACATCCACAGCAGAACATCTAACACAGCTGGAACATCTTGAGTACCTTCTTGGTTCCGTAGAGACTCTCCAGCAGTTTGTCCTGAGCGTTCTCGAAGCGCTGATCCAGAGTGGCCACGCTCTTCTGAACCAGAGTCCACATCATGTAGTTGTTCAGCAGACTGAAGGCAGAAATATTCAGAACATTATTACCCACAGAAACAACCTTCAGGCGTCCAAAAGGTGAAGGATGGGCAATAATGTCTTTACCCCCATCTGTGGTCTGTTAGCCAAATATCCCCTGAACAGGTGGACAGACTTATGAAACTCAAAGTAATCCCCAGATGAACATCTACACATTTACCACTTTATAATAAAGATCATTTTAAAAAGTATGAAATAAGTATTCAGGAACAGGTTAGTCATAGTTTATAAATACTTTAAAAAGCAGTAATAAGCATTTATAAACCTGTTTGTACAAAGAAACAAGCTAAGTGGAAATAAATGCAGCAATACTGTCCTTGTTATATAAAGCTTTATAATTGTTTATTAACGCTTTATTAAGTGTTAATGGATTAATAACTGCATCATTAACCAATAATTAATTATTTATAAAGATACCTTTTTTTAAATGACCTTAGCAAACTCAAATAGCTCCAACTCAGTCATTTGTACAGATATTTAGCTGAGGTTTGGTGTGGTAGTAGCTGAGAGTCATCCCCAGCATAGATTCTGAACACTATGAAGAAGGGGAGCGTCCAGGACATTCCTTTCGTCCATCAGTAGCAGGAATCGCTTCTGTCAGGTACCTTTTGTCGGTCTTGTTGATGAGCTCGGACACCTGCTGCAGGTACTCTCTGGCGTAAAGAACCACGGGTTCTGTATCGTTCAGGTCCAGTGGAGACAAAGAGAATGTCAGGAAGTCCAACCAGTCCACAGCTGGAGCCAGCAGCTGGAACAGGAAGAGCCGTTACAGAAACACTGATCAAAAGACTACGATACCCATAATACTCTGAGTGAAACCCTTTAGACCCTGAAAAGTTAATCAACACGTAGAACACGTTCTGAAGGTTCCTCAGTCATCATGTGAGTTAACAGTAACTTGGTTCAGTGAAAAAGTTTCAGCAGCACATTCAGAGGTAAAAATACATAGAAAATAATTGAAAATGTCAGCGTCACTTTAGATTTAGATGGTAAATATGAGCCTTTGTGAATGACGCACAGAAGCCACGCCCCCAGAAAAAGCCATGAATGGGGGCGTGGCTTCTTCGTATAGTTTTAAAATTATTTTAAAAATAATTAAAATGAAAAAAGACTAAACTGTACTTTAAAGTAAATATAAATACTGTTCATAATTTGATTGTTTTTTTTAAATATATATGTGTATTTTAACATTAACAAATCAATCTTCCATTTAAATATTGAGTTTTTCTATAGAGAGTTGAACATTTAGAGGCCATTATTTTATTTATTTCAAGTACATTTCCATCCTAAATAAGAGGAAAATGAGGGAAATATTTAGTGTGTCAGCTGAAACCTTATATGTAAAACTTTTTAATAAAACCAGGAGGCAGCACGTGGAGTTTGACTTTCAGCTTCTTGTTTTTCAGAAAAGTTTGATTTAAGGATTTAAAGAGTTAAATTTGTCCAGCTGGGGGCGCTGGAGGTCAAACTATTAGAACTTTGGCTAATTTGAGGTGTTTTCACCTGCAGGACATTAAACTATTTTGTTTATAAAACATAAATCTGGTCAGATAAACTGTGACTGCTTCAGGATGTTTTCTTCACTGAACACCTGATGACAGGTGAGGGGGTGAGGGGGTAAGGGGGTGAGGGGTGGGGGTCGGACAAGCCTCATTCTCTACCCACCCCTCCCCCACTATCACAGGGATACAAACAAAGCCCACAGAGGAAGAGTTTCCTCCTCATCATCCTCTGTGTTTATGTAACAACCTGTTATCTAACAGCCCATCCCCTCTCAGAGACACGCAGACACATAGCAACAGCTCATGGCAACGGTCGCCATGTCGACGCCTGAAGCATCCGCAGCCCTGAAGGACAAAGAGACGTTACGCTCGTAGACCTGAGCTGTGAGGTGGAGGGACAAACGGAGACAAGAGGCTTTTATTCTCCAACATCAGAGATTAAAACCAGAAACTGAAACATTTCAGCCATAATCTGTTAGGACTTGTTTAATCTGACGAGACGGATTTAAGCTGAAACAGCTCTCCTCTAACGACCTCATTTACTCTTCTTGGATTCAAGATGGCTGCCACAGCCAAGTAACTTAAAAAACAAAAATGATCCAAACAGATCCTGAGCTGAGGTCTGGTGTGGTAGTACCTGAGAGTCATCCCCACCATGTACTCTGAGCTCTCACTGATTCGGTCTTTGTTTAAACGTTAGGCCTGCAAGGCGGCGGGTGACAAGCATTCCTTCTAGGGGGCATAGCTTCATGTTTGATATGTAATTAATTTGAGATCCTGCAACACCGAGAGGCTTCAGGAGACAAAAACTGGACCTGATCATGGAAAACCTTTCAGTCGAATCTTTAAATTTTAACTTTAAAACATTTTTCCTGACCTGGACCACTTCTGCTCTAAACACCACTCGAGATCTGGACTGGTTCTACAGATAACTCAGGACCAGATTCTGGTCTCAGCCAGGGACTGTGGACCGGCGTCCCTCGGGTCTGACCTGCAGCTCAGCGATGGTGGTTTTGTGGTAGATCTTCTCCTCGTCTCGCCGCTGGTCCTGTGGGACAGTGATGTTGGCCAATGTTGTCTCAAGCTCAAGAATCTGCTGCATCTGAAGGTGAGTCGAAGTCTTCTCGCCCCCCAGCAGCATCCCCAGCTCCACCATGTAGTCTAGGTACGCCACCAGCACCTGCAGACCAGAGTCCAGATTAGTTCCAGTTCTCAGACTGTTCTCAGTCTCAAAGGAGGATTTGGGTAATATCACAGACTAGACTTCAGGATCCTCACCTTCTCATTGGCTGTCTTGTTAAGGTAGTAGTCTCTGGATGGTAGGAAGAGTCCTGATTGGTCCACCTGGAGAGGAGAGGATCAGGTGAGTCCATCAAACCTGAGGCCTTTACTGGTACCACCTGCTCCGTTGAAGCCGAACTTTGCTGAGTCATCTTTATTTACCTGGATCACGTTACTGTTGGAGTTCTTGAGGTCAGCGCTGACTCCGACGCTGAAGAACGGCTGAGCTTTGTACGGACCCGACACCGTCTTCAAAACCTCCATGAAGTTGTCCTTGTCCCACGGACCAGTCATGTTCCAGCCCCCAATCTGCAGATAGAACCAACAAACCCAGATTAAAATAAGCTGACATCATGTACAACCTGTAAAACCTCCATCCTCCGAAGCTCCGTCTCTACAGGCATAAGCTAGCAGATCAAAGGTCAAAGGTCACGGCCTCTTCTCTCTAAAAACAACATGGCAGCATGACTTAGGTTTGGTAAATTTCATCTGAAGGAACCACAAGACGTCTGGGACAAAACCAAACCAAAGGTTGTAAGTTTACCCAGAATGCACTGCAGCAAACATCAGCTCCAACAATGGGCACAAACTAATAATTTCCATTAACAACGTAATTTTAACTCTTTTATAACTTGGTTTTTCCCATCATTTATTTCTGAAACTGAAATAAAAGCATCTACTAAAATAATTAAACATTTTAATTTCATTAAAAACTTAATTCATACAAAAAGTTTTAGAGAAACCAAAAAAAATTAACATCTTAAACTTTCTGGACTTTAAAATAGCTTAAAAAACTTTTTTTCTCATTTAACAAATAAAAATCACAACAGTTTCATTTATGTTTATACAAAATATGATAAATTCACACTATCAGCTCTTTTCTTTGCAGCCCTGTAAATAAAACACAGCTGGAGGTTTACAATCAGTACGAACATAAACCACTGAGTCATCGGCAAACAGAAGAATAATCTGACAGGTTGAAGGAATAAAACAATATTTTAGAGAAAATTATTACAGCATTTAAGCTAACACAGCTCCTCCCAGCTGTCAGCACGGTGGTGCAGGGCTGATGGTTTGGGCTCCTGTCTGACACTGAGTGGACCAGGAACTCCTCTGTAGACCAAAGGGTTCTGGAGTCAAATGTGAGTCCATCTGTTCAACAGTTGAAGCTTGGACCAACAGTGGGTCCAACATAATGATCCCAAACACAGCAGCTAATCTACAACAGAACGGGTCAGAACGATTAGAACCAAGGTGTTTCAACGGTCCAGAGTCTAGAACTTCAGTCTGACTCAAATGCTGTGGTTGGACCTTCAGAAAGCTGAGCAGAAACCACAAAGAACTGAAGCAATGATGGAAAGAAGAGTGGGCCAAAACTCCTCCACAACCATGAGACTGATACAGAAAACCACTGAAAGATCTGATGCTGAAAGAGGTTCTGAATCAGAGTTTAGACCAGGTTCTGTATGTTCTTCATTCTGAAGACTCACCAGCTTTTCTTCTCTTTGTCTCTTTTTGTTTTGTGTTAGTTTATTGGATTACTGGAAATAATCTGATCTATCCCGAGGACAGGGATGAAGTGATGCGGTTGCCGTGGGGACAGGATGTGTGGGTGGTTACCTTGGCGATGAGGTCTATGAGAGGCTGAGCTCCCAGCTCCTCGATCCTCTGCGTGTTGAGGCAGGACAGGTAGTAGGACTGGGTCTTCCTCTCGGCTTCGCTGCTGCCATTAAACGTCCCGTTCTCTGGGGAGAAGAAGAAAAAATGCGAGTCAAAGGACATCTGGAGCTGGACGGGTCCATCCAGTCCAGGTCTGTCCCTCCTCCAGTCGTACCCAGCAGGTGTTTGAGCAGCGCCTGATTCTGCTCCCAGATACTGTTGAAGGTGGACCAGCGAGAGCGTCCATCGGGCAGTGGGTTCTTCCTTATCCAGCCACCGCAGGCGTACTGGTAGAAGTCCTGGCAGGGGTCGACGCCGCGGTCCATCGCCTCCACAATCTGACTCGCCACCGTGATGCATGCCTGTGATAGGCACAGGCCACGCCCACTGTCTGCAGGACAACATGGAAGATTTAAAAAAAGACTGGAAAAATTAGAACAGAACAAAAAGGACAGAACACGGAAGAAAAGGAAGAGGGTAGATTCAAAAATCTGATGTGAAATGGAGAAAAAACAGGAAGGTACTGAAAAACCTAAACGTATGAAGACAGGAGGAGACAAACAAGGACAGAGTGGAGACAACCAAAGACAGGAGACAAACAAGGACAAAGAGGAGACAACCAAAGACAGAGGAGACAAACAAGGACAGAGGAGACAAACAAAGACAAAGGAGACAAACAAGGACAGAGGAGACAAACAAAGACAAAGGAGACAAACAAGGACAAAGAGGAGACAAACAAGGACAGAGGAGACAACCAAAGACAGGAGACAAACAAGGACAAAGAGGAGAAAATCAAGGACAGGAGACAAACAAGGACAGAGGAGACAAACAA